TTTGTTTTCTTTTGTTCTTCCTCCAGATTTTGCAGCCGTCGATCCTTACCCCCTTGGCGGCTGCTCCCTCCTTTTCTATTTATATGAAGCCCCCCTCCTCTAACCTACAGTCCTTTCTTACCTATTTGCAGCCAAGGCACTCCAGTCCTTCCTTGCAAATCCTTCCCTGCAAGCTGCGTTTTTGACGCAGCTTGCATGCCGCTACTATATTTATTTATTTTTTCTTTTTTTTTTTTAACTTTTTTTTTTTTTTTTTAACTTAACAACTAACCGATTTAATCAAACAAAATTGATAACAATAACGCTAATAATAATAATAACAAAAATAACTTAATTAACATTGGATTGAATAAACAAAAATAAAACTAGAAATAACAAAATGCCACTTTCAACCTTCCATTTTTCATTTTTTCCTTTTCCATTTTTCCATTTTTCATTGTTTTCCTTTTTTTTCCTTTTTTTTCAAAATAACTTAACAAAAATAAGTAAGATGCTAAAAGATTGATTTTAAAAGACATAAAACACATTTTTTTGGAACGCTTTTTCCTTTTTCCTTTTTTTTCATTTTCATTTTCATTTTTCTTTCAAGAAAGCATTGAATAAAAACAAAATGACTAAAACATATTTTTGAATGCTTTTCTTTTTCAACAAATTCTATGATAAAACTTAAAAATAAAAATAAAACTGGAAACTAAAAACTAAAAACGAACACGACAAATAAAAACTAAAAAATGAAATTACACCAAAAATTTGGTGTCTACAATGGCCGTTCTTAAAACCCCCCACTTTCTAGCATTTGGTCATGCATAAAAGGTTACTTTCCACTATCACACGGGACAGTGAGAGTTTCAGGGAAAGAAACCTGTTTCTACATAACCAAGTGGAACCTTACGAATACGCGAGAGAAAGCGCTTTTCTTTTTTCTTGGTGGCCCTATCTTCTCTTCAACGACGTAGAAGCTCATTTTTTTCTATGTCTGGCATTTCTGTGTACCTTTTGCGGCGAGTAGAACTTCTACTCATTCACTTTAATTGTTCAAAGTGTACAACGCGAAAGGACTATATAAAAAAGGCAAAATTTTACCAATTAACAAATAAAAGGAACAGGTTTGTAAAATACTAAGCTAAAATTATTAAGCAAGCAATGAGCATGAAGGTAAGAAATTTAACAGTTAACAAATAAGCAGTAAACAAACGAAATAGAGGCATAAAATAAGTAACAAAAGCTAGTTTAGTATTCAATGCAAGGCTGCCTGTAATTTTTATCCTTCAGGTGTAATAGCACAGGACAGGAGCAGAATAACTCCTTGTAAATGCAGCAAACAAGAAATGGCAAGAAGCAAATAAGGTTCGACAATTCAAAAGTCAAAGAAGTAAAACTTAAAAAAGATGCAACCAACGAGAGCAGAAAATACAAGTAAAATAGACGGAATCTAAATGGTAAAATATAAAAGAAAGGGGGAAGAGAGGAGAACCACAAACACTAACCTGTTTGCCTGCAGAAAATCCATATGGTAGAGTCAAAGAAGAGCAGGTGGTATGACAATAAAATCGATCATGCAAAAGCTAACTGGGAAAAGAAAGAGAAAAGAAAAAAATAAACCCGTGTTAATAGGTTGAAAAGCAATGAAAAAATTAAAGGGACTAAACTGGTGCATGAGAAAAGAAACTGATAAAGAAGTGAAATAACAAGGTAATAAGCTAATTATTTAAAAAGAAAAAAGAAAAAAGCTCAACACATGTAGAGAGACTAAGTAAAATGATCTTGAAGCAGGACACTCACCAGCAACACAGCAGCAATAGCAACTCTACAAGCTGAAACCAATTCAGAAAATTAGCAACGAAAAAAGTCTAAAGGAAGCAAGAGCAGGAGAAGAAGCAAGCTCATAACCTACCTTTTTTCTGTCTAGCGAAAAAGTAACAGAAAAGGATTAGAAGAAACAATGTAGTAGCTGCACATCTACCACCAATCATGATGATAAGCTGTCGAATTTCTGCTAGGACAAATCTGTGACGACCCCACTTCCCCCTAAGGCGAACCAAAGGGTTTGGCGGGCCGTCTGCCCAGCTCTCGCCGGGACTCACTACAAAACTCAAGCATGAATATAATCGATGGTTCTTAAAAGCTCAAACGGAGTATAATATATCCACCAGTCCAACATACCAAAGTACGAGTCCAATACTTCATCTAAATTTTCACAATAATAACTTAAGTACAATCTTATGTTTGCAATTCAAATCATTCTTACAAAAGTAAAATCCCCAAAATGTCATGAGATTTACATTCACTTCAACCACAAGTACATCATACCATAAAGTTCACAAATCTTTCAAAATAACCATTACATTCCACAAAGAAGATCAATCACAACCTAGATAAAGGATAATCCACGGTACTCCAAATCCTTGTGCTTGAGTAACTATCCTTCTCGAGCCCTGCATAGAACTAAAATGTTTTTGGGGGTGAGCTAAAGCTCAATGAGGTTTCAAAAGGGAAAATCAAGTATTTATAAACCATTGCGTAAGTGTTACTTTGGAAACACATGTAGAAGTAATACTTTTGTTGGCAACTTTATTATGAGTACAACTCATAAATCATTTAAAAACCACTAACGTACATTTGGAATGCATGATCACATAAATATATTTTCATGAATTTTAGTCAAACAAATAGTGGCTCGTCCGACTAGAAGAACATTACAAGGATTGCTTCATCTCAGAGATTAATGCTCATGAGGAGTCTTACCCGAGAAATGTCAACTAGGAGAGCAATAACAGTATTAATAGTAAAGCAAACACAAAAGGATACAGTACTCGGTCCACTTCCCGTCCTTATAACTCCCATTGGTAACTTCTTCTGTTGACTGGCCATCACCTTATCCCTCCAGTGGTAATACTCGAGTATACCATAATACAGTGCCCAGGGTTATCAACCTATCCGACCGAGTCCGCTTCTGGCTCGAATAGGTGATAACGAAGGGGAGAAGGCCTTGTTCAGTCAATGTGATAAAGTACACATGGCCTACAGCATACGCAAATAACATATAAACAATGAAATATTGAACAGTTAAGCAATACAACAACAGTTAGGTCGAGTGCGATAAAGTACACACTCGCCTAGAAATAAGTACTTTTCATTCAAATGAACAAGATTCATCAAGTATTAGGCCACTTAGGCATGAAAGAAGCACTCATCAAATCACATCACGTAAATATATATAAGCAATTTTACAAGTAGTGGTTATAAAAGTTCGAGAAGCAATTTTGTGCAAAACAGTTTGGAATCCCTCACCGTAATCCGGAGCAAAGCAAGAGCAAAAGCAGGAAATTAAAAGAGTTTCTCGGTGTCCTCTGAATCACCTGAGATTAATCACAATTACAAATTACCTAGATGCTCGATTAAGGCGAATAAAGAAAACCTCTTAGATACACACACTCAAGCCTCAAGCTCAAACAAATTGAAATAGGAAGTTTTAACTTAATCATTGGTATAAAACCAAAAGGAATTTAAAAGTCCCATTTCCGAGATAAATCGTGGCAAGGACTATCAATTTCAAAAGAAGGGTAAAATGCTTAATTTGGCACGGAAATCGAGAAGGTGAAAAATGTGTTCGTACTAGAAAATTTTCAATAAAAGCTCAAGTACTAGAGTATAAGTGAAAAAGAATCATGTTTCCTTGCCGAGCAAGTTTTCTACATTTTTCATTTAAATTTTAAATATTAACGCGCTATTCTCAATCTCTATAACTTGATAGTAAGATAAAATAATTCCACAAAGCTTGATTTAAAAGTACTCAAATTCAACAGACCAAAACGGACTTCACGATTTCAAATTATTTGCACATTGTATTCCTGGTTGCCAAAATAGCTAAATCACAATTCAAACATCAATTTCACTAGGGCTTCATCAATCATTAGCCCTAGGTCTCCACAGATTCAATTCCAAATAAAATTCAACAAAGGAAGTCCAAGGTATCAAGACAATCCAAAACGCAAACCAGGGAACTTCCAAGCACATTTTAGCCAACTACTTGAACAATTTATTAAAATTAAATTCTTGCAAAACTATTCGAATGGTCAAGGGCTTCATCAATCATTAGCTCTTGACAACCAATACTCGCTTCAAACACCAATCCATTCAAAATAAGAATAAAAACTACAGCCCACTTGACTCTCAAGTAGTTCTAAAATTCAGATTTTCTTTTCTTGATTCGGTAGTCAAGAAAAACCCAGCAAAATTCAATCCAAGATGTCCATTAAACCTTTAACTTTTACTTGCTAAATTCACTAAACACATAGCTTATCATCTGTCCAAACCAAGCTAAAGTAAATAATGTGAGGACTCGTAAAAACTATTATTTTTAAGCCTAATTTGTGGCTTAATAAATTATTTAATTGGATATTTGCCTCGAGGAATATTTTCTAGTCTTATTAGACCTAAATGCATGGTAATATAACTTCGTTATATTTTTAATGTAACTCATTTCACGAATTAATTTCCTGGAGCGCGTTTAGTAAAAATAATGAATAGTGCTTGGAGATTTTATCCGCTTGAGAGTACAATAAGTTTGGAATATTGGAGACATGTACAATGGACCTAAATTCGGTATTTTAATGTTTAAATACTCAAGTGATAGTTATTAGTACTATCGTTATAAGAATTTCTCGGAAGTTTCGCGTTATCGCGCTTAAATTGGAGATACGCGTTTTCACACGCGCGATTTAAATTCAGGAACTTTAGACCCTTATTTTGGGACGATTGAGAGTGAATAATATTTATATGAATATAAGTGCATTAGAGGTTTAGTGCACCAGTGAAACAAATTCGAGAGGAATCGAACACGAAACGCGCGGGAAAAAGAGTTAACCTTTGAATCAATGAGAGCCACACATTTTAGTTTCACATGGGTGCATCACACCAGATCAAAACCTTCCACTTTATCACCTCAAACAGCCGTGCAACTCTTCTTTTCCTTCTTCATTCCAGCCGTGCAACTCCAAGGAAAAACAAGACCAAGTTCTTCATTTTTCCTTCATCAAATTTTCATCAAACCTCTTCCAATTCACTCCAAATTCGAACTACACTTAACTAAACATTTAGAGATCCCATTGAGCTAAGAAAAGGAGTTGCTATCCATGGTTTTCTTGAGCATCTAAGGGGCCGAAATTTCTGCCTTCATCCTCTAATCAAGTAGGTGTTAATCCAACACTTAAATCTTGCTTTATGAAGATCATCTTACATGTATAAGGTAGTATTTGCATTTGGGTAGCTTGTTTATGGTGTAAAATGAAATGGGTGGGCTCTATGAACTCCCACCTTTGTCTTGAGGACTGATCTCATGCTTGATGATGGATTTAATGGTGGTTTAGTGCTTAAATTAGTGGATTAATGTTGTATTGTTGGTAGAAAATCATAGGAGGTGCTTGGAGCAAAAGTGACCGTTTTACCCCTGCCTTGTCCGACCATTTTTGTGCACAATTTTGAGGTTCTAATGACTTGATTATATTGTTTACATGTTATTGTGAGTGTGTACAAAATTTCATTGAAAAATAACATGATTTGGTTGGTTAAATGAGTTGATTTCCAAAGTTAGCAAAACTGGAAAATGAATCCCGTATTGCCCAGGCAGTCATCTTGTATCGGCTATAACTCTTTACTCCGATGTCGAAATTGAGTGCCGTCGGTGGCATTTGAAATTAGACATTCCCAGCTTTCCATTGGTACCAAATTAACATTCTAGTTCCACTTGAGTGAGCAACACCATTCGATTGAAAATCACTGTCCTGTTTCGTTTCTCTCCAGGAGACAGGACAGGACTTGTATCTTCATGCTCAAAAACGAGCTGTTTGTGAATGGAATTTGAAAATGGTTTCTTCTGAGCAAATTCAGCTTTATGAGAGAGCTTTCCAACGCCATCAACCACGCCCAATTCCAAGTTGAATTGAGTGATTTGTGGCCAAAGTTTGAAACAGCTACAGTGATAGAATTTTCCACTTGGACAGATTTGTAACTAACAATGACTTGGGACTTGTTATTTCGAAATTCTTGATGTAAATCACCTATCAAATGTATTTTGAATTCTTGCTAGACCTGATTATCATAAACGAGACATGTTTTAGGTATCTTCCCTTGGTCAAAAGTTTAGAAAAGGAAATTTTCATACACGAGGCAGCTTTGCCTTAAAAATTTGGAAACTTGAGTGATTTTGTTAAGTGACTTTCCGTGCATATTTTTCTATGAAATTTGACAGAGGAATAGCCCTTATATGGTAGTATAATCATACCAAATTTGGTGCCATTTCGAGTCTGTTTAGATGTTCAAACAAAGTCCCAAAGTTCATGTTTAAATCTGGAAATTCTTGATCGAGGAGGAATTTTTAGCCAACTTTGAGCTGCTATATCTTGGCGCTCAAAACTTCAATTCTTGTACCGTTTGTTTTGTTTTAAACTTTGATTGTAGCTCTAATTGAGTTCTAAATTTCGGAGGTTAGTTCGTATTGTATGAATTTTGCCGGATTTTCAAAGATGGTCAAAAACCAACCCCGAAACTGTCTAAATGGTCCCAAGCAGCAACTTTGAGTCAATTTTTGAATACCTTCTGTTTGGAATCATGGAAAAGTATCTTCTAGGAACTTTTAGCCTTTTGAAGAAGTTTCCAACGGTATCAAGCTTTCCAATTTTGGACCTACATAGTGCAAGATACGATTTTTCTAAAATTGACACCCAAAGCTGAAATTTGTCAATTTCTTAGAAAATGAGATTTTGGAAACTTGCCTTCTTTTCTCGATACCGATTGAACATTTTGAACTCGATTTCATGGAAAATATTAGTCTCTCTCTTTAGACTTTAAAACTTTACTCTTGAGCCTCGATTATTAATAATTAAGGCCCAATTAATGAATTCCCCTTAGATTGTATAACCTTCTTTGATAAGTAGGGGTTCTAAGTGATAGTGTATAATAGTTGATGGTTATTTGCCCAGGCGCTCAAGGGGACCTTCAAGAGGAACTCGAAGTGGACGTCTAGACATTTGTTTGAGTATTACTCTCTTGTTGCTATAGGTGAGTGTTCCATATAGGAATACGTAATTGGAATAAGTCTATGACATGCATAACCCATGATTATTAAGTGTTAAGTGCTATATGTTAAGTATTTACCACACTCATGCATATCTGAATAAGGTATACTTGAATTACTCGACATGAAATACCTGAAATATGTATATTTGAACTATTCGATATGAAATGCTTAAAGAGCATATTTATGTGATTACTTGAAATATTAGATATGAAATGCTTGGAGAGCATATCTACATGATGTGTTTAAATGATTAATTATGCTATGACAGCATAAGTCGGTTGGAGTGAATCTCCTCGACTCTTATGTGGAAAAAGTGAAAACGGCCAATGGTGGCCTATTAAAATGACATATGTCTACCAATTAACCGTAATTACCACCGTTTACCGTTTACCGTTAACCATGTTTACTTACCGTTTTCTAATCTATTCGGCTACTTGCTTACTTGATTATCTGCTTACGTAATCACCAACTTACTTGATCACTTGATTATCATGAATCGCATGTTATATGAAGTTGTCCATCATTGTTAGGCGAGTGTGTACTTTACCTCACTCGACCTACTCAAATGATGAATTTTACCTTTTGCCGAATTACTTGATTACTTGTGCATGTTGTAAGCTCTAAGCTGAATTGGGCCCTGCTCATCGTTACTAACCTACTCGAGCCAGGACTGGGCTCGGTCGGGTAGGTTGGAACCTTGGGACACCGTTTCGGTATACTCGAGTATTACCACTGGAGGGATAAGGTGATGGCCAGTCAAACCGAGGGGATCCGGAAGTCATAAGGTGCAGATGACCGACAGAGTTCCACTGGAACACCGTATCCTACAGTATATGTTTACCTGGTATCATGATGATTGTTTCGTGCTAAAATGCCAACATGAAATCCTGAGCTATGCCTGTAATAAGCTCCAATCACTCGTGAACTATACATGCTAATGTCTCATACCATGATAAATGTCTCAAATTACCCGTACAATGATTACCACCTCATGATAACATGCCATTGTGTAACCTTGAACCATGCATATGATATGCCCAACTTACTTGATTTATTTGAACTGTTAGAGTGTCTTGGAATCTCACTGGGCTGTGTAGCTCATACCACGTTGTGGATTTCTTTTACAGGGTTCGAGACCAAGGGTGCTCGTGAGTAGTACTAGATTGTTTTCTTTTGAAAACTTTAAGTTATATTATAACGGATGGCTATTGTACCCTTTTCCGTTGGGTTGTATTTAAGCTTGAAAGCTACATAATTGTAAGTGTGAGATATTTGAAGTACTTTAATTATGTATTGAAGTTATTTAAAGTATTTCGAGCTTTTGAATGATGGATTGTAGTGAGTCCTGGCGAGAGCTGGGCAGGCGTTCCGCGGATACCCTTTGGTTCGCCTTAGGGAGAAGTGGGGGCGTCACAAATAATACACAAATCCAGCAAATAAACTCCCCAAAAGTCCCAACCAGTTCGGTCATGCTGGAAAATATTTTCCTTCAAAAATTGCTTTAGTTCATGTTCCACAAATCAAACAATTATGAAAATTATACTGTTGTAGAATAGATTTTTAATACTATCACATCCCAGAAGACACTTTTCAAAGATTCAAATCACAAATAGGCCAAATATTCGATCCAAGTCAAGAATTCAGTTTCCTGAGGAAACAGGACATTCAAACAGGACAGCCTACTTTGAGGAATCACGGACAGCAGTACACATGGAGGAAAAATATGAAATTTCTACAAAACAAAGGCCCATGACTCTAGTTTCAAATGCCACTGACGGCACCTCAATCGGATTTTCCTACACCAAGATATAAGCATTTTACTGAGACTGGTCAGAGAAATCCAAAAATCTGGAAACTCATTTTTCACTTGTGAAAAACTCCTTTTTCTCTTTTAAAACCATAAGACTCTTATTCAAACCATCATACATTTAAGTATGACATTCATACCAGCATATACCAAAGCAAATAACGCTTAATTCCAATAAATTATTCCACCAAAAAGTCCCCATAAATCTGTCATCAGCTAAGATAAAATTTTCCAGCAATTGATAGTTTATTTATATAGCTTTTGTTCCTAGTTTTCTTCAATTCTTACCTCAGCTCAACATGCAAAAGGTGATTAGCAAGCCTCAAGCAAATCTTAAACATCCAATACGAAAATCTGAATTGAAATTCGAAAACAAAACTAATTAAATGCTCACTTCCTTCTCTCGACCAAGCTGGAATATTTTGCAGCAGAAAATTTCCCTCGGTTTCAATCCACAATTCAACTTTTCCTCAGATTTTCTTCCATTAAGCTTCACTTAATACTTAAAGCTAACAATCTATATGCAATTCATAACAAAATTTTCCATTTGACAGCAATTACAAATGCAAACAAACATGAAGTCTCTCGGCTATTCCAGAAAATTTCCAGTAGCTAAGTTAGACGCAAATCTGGATTTTCTCCAACTAAAACCTTGTATTAGGTACTCAAAACCAACATGCATGACTAATTAGTGGAATTACTATCAGCTCTGGTTTAAATCAAGTTCGGACAGCACTACTATCATTCACAATTCCAGAATTTGGTTCAACCATTCTCGGATGTTCTTGCATGAAGCAGAGTCGTGTATTATTTTTCCCTTCTAGCATAATACGGCTAATTAACTTCATGCATGGTTTAAACTTCTTGTTTTCAGTTAGTTAAACACATTTCTAAGCTCAGATTATCACAGATTAGCTAATTAAAGTTACAAAAATCCAGCTCACACATTCAGCAGCTTCAATTCATTCCAAACCAGATTTCTTAAGTCACAATTCTTCATCTAACCTCACCAGTCCACATGCATGCTTATAGACAGCTTCATCATCCCATATACATCTCATCTAAGTTCAGAAATTACCTTAGCTTGAAGTCTAACACACACGACTAGCGGCTGCAAAACTCTTCCTTCTTGGTCAGACCAGAATTTCAGTCCGTCCAGTCCTCTTTTCTCTTGTCCAAGCTTGCGACTGAAATGGAGGATGTTTAGCTCACAGCCCTCTTCACTACCTCACGGTTGGATTGGGTATAGAGCAGCAGGTTCCATTTTTTTCTCTAGCTCACGGATGGAAGATGTTGCAGCTCGGCCTCTCACTCTCTCTCGGTCGATACTCACGAGGTAAGTCTCTCCCTCACTCTTTTGTTGTTGGTCCAAAGCAGAATGAGGTTGTGAAGGGTGGTGGTGTTGCGGTATTTAGGAGAAGAGGTTGAGTGTGCAGGAGGGTGGAGTGTGAAGGTGGTGAAAGAAATGTATTGGCCGAGTGAGAGGTGAGGTAGTTATGTTGTCCGAAATTTGCTGGGTTTGCATGGTGGTTTTGGTGAGCTTGGGAGGGTAGTTTAGTCTTTTCACATTCCTTCTAATGAACACTTAAGTCCTTGATTCTAGTTTGATCCCAAAAATTTATTCCGAATGTAATTGAACCTCCTAATGATGCGCTAATCTCACGAGGTTTCAATTATCGTAATTTTTACGTCCTACACGTATCTAGTATACATGTATTGTAAAATTTATCGATGGTATCTTAATACTAAGGTTTTTGTATACCCTTAATCTTATTCGGAAAGAATGTTAGCTACTGCAAATTAAGGAAATTTATTTTTAAAGAGTAAACTTAATATAACTCAAGAATTATTACTTTTGTATAATAAAACCGAATAATTCAATATTGGCATAGTTATATTATTTATTTCATAAAATTTATCTTTACACTTTTATTTCAAAACAATTAGTTACAATACTAGAATTCAAAGAAATTAATGATTAGATCAATGAAATAGTTTACCATCGAAATATGAAGTTAATGTAACAAAACTAAGAAGTTTAGTAGTTTAGCACAATTCTTTTATTTTGCACATAACGTTTATTTCTACGCACTTATTTAAAAACAATTAGACTTAGTGCTAAAATTTATTAAAGAATTAAAATGCAAATGAAATATGCACTGATATTTATATGTCTATTTTCAGGGTTCTCACAAAATCAGGCAATGTCAGTAACCATTGTACAAAGGAAAAAAACAAAGGATTATCGCTAAACAGAGCAGGCTAAAAGGTGAGATTTGGCAGGACTACACAGTGACGGTTACTCCATTTTTACAAACATGACCATGATAAAGAAACCAAAGAAGAGAAAACACATTAAGAGAGAGAGAGAGAGAGAGAGCAAATTAAAAGATAAAGGCTGGATAATATAGTAAAACAGAGGTCCCAACTTTCACATCAAATATAACAACTCCCCACCAAATGAACGTACTCGGAAGTGATGGCTGAGGATGCATTTGATTAAAATGCATAGAAAGGACATTTTAAAATTGAAGTAAGTAATGGGTAAGCGCAATTTTCCAAGTAAAGATACGAAAGAAGATAATTTTCTTAGTAAAAATGATATTAATAGAGAGGCATTTTTTTTTTTTGAATAGTTAAAAACGTAGGCCAACTAATTAATTAATTGTTAACAAATAAAAATGATGAGAAAAACCCAACAATTAAACATAATCTTGTTGGACAATAGTAATAAATGGAATGAGCAATTAATTAACCGCTGACAATTAATTGCAAAAAATTGATAGGTAAACATAAGTGTTAGGACAAAAAAAGGGAACCTTTTATGTTAACCCAACATATTGGTACTAATCAGCCAATAACTATTTGTTAATAATCCATTGTAAAAAGAGAAACCACATTGAGAGAAAGAGCAAATTAAAAGACAAAGGCTGGGTAATATAATAAAACAGAAGTCCCAACTATCACATCAAATACAACAACTTCCCACCAAATGAAAGTAATCAGAAGTGGTGGCTGAGAATGCATTTGATTAAAATGCATAGAAAGTACATTTTAAAATTGAAGTAAGTAGTGGGTAAGCACAATTTTCCAGGTAAAGATACGAAAGAAGATAATTTTCTTAGCAAAAATGATATTAATAGAGAGGTATTTTTTTTTGAATAGTTAAAAACGTAGGCCAACTAATTAATTAATTGTTAACAAATAAAAATGACGAGAAAAACCCAACAATTAAACATAATTTTGTTGGACAATAGTAATAAATGGAATGAGCAATTAATTAACCGCTGACAATTAATTGCGAAAAATTGATAGGTAAACATAAGTGTTAGGACAAAAAAAGGGAACCTTTTTTGTTAACCCAACATATTGGTACTAATCAGCCAATAACTATTTGTTAATAATCAATTGTAAAAAGAGAAACCACATTGAGAGAAAGAGCAAATTAAAAGACAAAGGCTGGATAATATAATAAAACAGAAGTCCCAACTATCATATCAAATACAGCAACTCCCCACCAAATGAAAGTAATCAAAAATGGTGGCTGAGGATGCATTTGATTAAAATGCACAGAAAGTACATTTTAAAATCAAAGTAATGGGTAAGCGCAATTTTCCAGGCAAAGATACGAAAGAAGATAATTTTCTTAGCAAGGATGATATTAATAGAAAGGCATTTTTTTTAATAGTTAAAAACGTAAGCCAACTAATTAATTAATTGTTAACAAATAAAAATGATGAGAAACAACCAACAATTAAACATAATTTTGTTGGACAATAGTAAAAAATTGAATGAGCAATTAATTAACTGCTAACAATTAATTGTGAAAAATTGATAGGTAAACATAAGTGTTAGGACAAAAAAAAAAAGGAACCTTTTTTGTTAATCCAACATATTGGTACTAATCAGCCAATAACTAATTGTTAACAATCCATTGTAAAAGTTTGACAAGCAAACATAAGTTGCAGGGGGAAAAAAAGCAAAAGGAGAAAATTTGTTGGTTAATTTAAGTCGATGATACTAATCAGGTACTAAAAAGAATTAGCCACAAAAAATCGACAACAAACCGTGCTTTCGTGGACAACATAAAAAGGCCAAAATTGGTTGGCACTAATTAGTTTTTACCAATTAATTGCAAGGTATTGGCAATGAGATGCAATTCGTTGGGGACCAAAAAGAAGCTTAATTTTTGTCAATGCGATCCACTGGGCAAAAAAAAAAGGCCAAATTTTAGCACAATCCTACGTGCATTTAGAGGAGGATTTGTCAGCCAAACAAAAAGTGAAATTATTAATTAACTAATGAAGCATTAATGGCAAAACAGGGCATTCTTTCGATAACATCTATAAAAAAATTGATA